CTGAAAGATAAAGGTTTGAATGAATCTTTGTTTTTAGTGGTTGCTTGGAAGTGAAGTGTGCGTGTCTGTAGGAGTGTGCTTCTGAACACACACTACAGCAGCACTGCTGCAGTGGAAATGACATATGAAACTGAGGCTAGGAAGGAAAATGGCATCTAAGGCACAGCTATTGTTAGAGCTTGAGAAGTGTAAGAGGAGGAGTTGGGGAGGAAATGAAGAATTATGCTTTTACTGGCGGCTTCGATAGAAGGAAGTGTTTACTGTTGCACAAATGGTTTGTGCAGTATTGACAAAGGCGCTTCAGCAGTCTTCGCTCTAGACGCGTATCTGGGACCTGTCCGCATGTGTGCAGCTTTTCTTACTTTTCTCACCTAGATTTGGCCACAGCTTATTGTGGGTATTTGTCACCTTCAGCATATTAATTTTATTTCTCCTGATTTGGCCTCCCTGCACAACTCCAGAATCTCTTGCGTGACGCGCTGCAGGCTCGGTGCTGGTGGGCTCCTCAGTCGCACCTGAAACCTGCAGTGGTTTTCAGCTGGGCTGCATATTCGCTGCCCGAGTCTGCTACAAGAACGTGTTCTCCAGGTGGCAGTTAGTACATTTTTATTGCTGTAATCTTAAGCAGCACACAGTGAGTGATGGGCTTGACAGCTGGCCAGAATGTACTGGGTTTTGCATGGCTTGCAGGTTTCGCTCTGTGAAATTCACTAGAGAGTTTAAGCTTGATTTTTCTGAACTAGGTCCAAGAAAAGCAATTTAGACCGTAACTTGTAATTTTTCTCTCTGCTGCATACACCTATGATGTGGTTGCTGTGTTCTTACATTTTTTTTAATGTTTTGTAAAGGAATGTTTTAATTGAGAACTAAAAAAATTGATATATGACCCCTTTTCCTGTGTGCAAAAAATCTTTTATGTAACGAGGTAAACCAAGAATGCCTTTTGGATGAATCAAGACCGAATTTGTTGGCTTTGACTTAATGGTATAATAGATCAGTATAATAGGCTGATGTTTAGCCACGTGTTCAGACACTGACGTGATATTTTGAACTGGTTTCATTATATTTTAAGCTTGCACAAACACACATGGTGTGTGCAGGCTACCGGTTTGCCTCTTGATTTTTTTGTCATCTGAATGTTATCCACGGTTGTGAATTTATTATACCCTTTAGTGACCCTGAAAGGTTTTTGAATTCTCTTTTTTTTTTTTGAGAAGGGGTTCTGTTGAAAAGTCTTATTGGGAAAAGAGGGGGTTTTGTTGAAATCTCTTATCATGGTTGATCGCTCCTCGTTGTCAAGTCTTCCGTCTTGCTGTATGGTGCTGACGGCCAACGGACAAACATGCATCACTCTGAGAGATAGCAGCCAGCTGCCTTAAGGGGAAAAGAAATTGACTCAAGACCTTCCTGTCCAAGAAGGGGTGGTGTTGACCAGGCTGGCTCCACCAGGGTTTGCAAGGGGAATTTTTGCCCTGGGGGGTTGAAGTCATAGGTTAAAAACCTGGTTGCAAGTCACCTAAACGCTGTCTGTTTCCTACGCGGCAGAAGGGGCCGACATGTTTATTAGCTGTCCGGCAGCTGTGGTTGATTAAGTCACGCTGTGACCAACATTTCGTTTATTTCGTGGAGCTTGTCTTGAGTGCTGAAAAAAGAAAGGTTAAGGGATATAAGATTTACACTGTCTACACAGGCTTGGGTGTAGAGTTTGCAGAAGGCCGAGCAGCAGTTTTGCATAATCACAGGCCCAGGTTTTTATATTGCAGTGCAAATGTGGTGTTTTGCACCGTGGAATTCGAGCAATGTGAAAGAACCTGCCACACTTCAAGAAAAAAACATTAATACTCAACTGCCTGCATATCATCCATTCATCAATTTCCCTACGGGATTAATAAAGTATTATCTATCTATATACAACTAGGAGGGGGCCCCATCTGAGTGCTGCGCCCCCATCTGAGGGACAATCCCGCAGAATCACAATCTGCTCGAGTGATGCATCAGACAGTGATGTTCGATATTTAGATTTGACAGATTTCATCTCTGAAAATTCACACAAATATGTGGAGGCAAAGACAGAAAACAGTCCTTGAGTTCTTAAAACTCTCTTCAGGCTGTGATTTATAGACGTTTAACAAATCCTTTTCCTTGAACAGATCCCTATACAAGTCATCCCCAGCAAGGTCAATTACTTTGAGCTGCAACTCAGGCTGAAGATTCAGTTCAATTTATTTTTATATAGCACCTTTCACAACAAGGTTGCACCAAGGCACTTTATAAAGCTGTGTGACAATACATGACGTTATAATACAGAAGATCTTCAACTTCACTTGCAAAAGGGTGCTGGAACAATCTTGTGTTCTTTGAGATACTTGTCACAATCTTGAAAAGGGTCCTGAAATTGCAGCTTCAAATGTGAAATCACGTTTAAAGCGAACGGAATCAGAAAAGGTTCGTCACATTAATTTCTGTACTTTTCACAAGTTGCAAAATGAACAAAATTGTTAGCTGCCACCTCTTTTTCAAAAAGAATGATTTGTCTGAAGGCTTTTACATGTGAAAACAAATCTGAAATGATGGCATTTTCGCCCTGAAGTTTCACATTCAGCTTAATTATATATGCAGTCAAATCCACAAGAAAGGCGAACTTCCATAACCAAACACTGTCAGAGAGGGCATTAATTGGTCTAAGCCATGAAAATGTCGATTTCGGTGTGTAATTCAAAAAATCTCTTTGCAGTTTAGCTTTGCTGATCCAGCGAACCTCACAGTGGTATTCACTCTCAATTTCAGATAGGAAAATTTTAAACTGACGATGATTAAGGGAGGACCATCGTATAAAATTCACTGTCTTTACATCTATATCCATTACTTTAGATAATTGTACATTTTTACCCCACAAAGCCTGCTGATGAGTGACTGATACAGTGCAAAATAATCGGTTTTTCCCCTTCCGTGCGACGAGCAACTGAATTAGCCAACAGACGTATTTGCTTGAACAAAGCAACTTCTTCTGGACATAGTTCATCAGCAGCCTTCATAATACAGGTTTTTATATGCTGCCCATCAGTAAATGGTTTCCCTGCCTTAGCTATAACAAGGGCTATTTTGAAAGTTGGATTCTGATTGTTGTGATCGCTTTGTGAATATTTCACGCTGATTAAATAAGTTTTTCTTCAGTGTTTCTACTTTATCTGAACGCATGTTGCCACTCTTGAGTACTTATCTTCGTATCGGAATGCCTTCGGATACTCGACCCCTTGAGAACAGCGACGGTTTCTCTGCATATTAAGCACAACGCTTTGTTATTGCTTTCAATCACGAAATAGGTTTCAGTCCGCTTCTCATTAAAAACACGGCACTCTTCGTCAACTTTTCTCCTCTTAGCTCCTGACATTTCGATGTAAAATAAATAAACAAACAATGCAAGAAAACTCAAGAACAACAAACAAGTGAGCCTGAGGTCAAGGTTATTTGACTTCTTCTGTTCTCCGGACGGATAAAAATACTTCGCCCGTGGGCCGTAGGTTGAGACCCTTGCGTTAGGCCATTAATTGTGAGAGGTTAAACTGGGCACCCTCAGAGACTCTGTGGAAGGGCTCTTCCTGTTAGAATTGTTCCCTAGTGAAATTAATTATTAAGCTTTGAGACAATGTCCCATTTCCTACCAGGCTATTAAGTAACAGTTCTGCACAGGTGTGTAGGTATGTTTGCATGAGCACTTACTGCACCCCTTTAACCCCTTGACAGCTGGGATGGGCACCTGTATAAGTCTGAGGGTATCTGAGTGCCCGGACCGGTTACCAGCGCCCCAGTAGGGTGACCATGGAAACAGTGCTGGGAGATGCGCCGTCCTTCATATGGGAAATTGAAAATCGATGCCCTGAATATTTGGCCATTAAGGATCACGTGGCATTTTTTTGAAAGAGCAGAAGCGATAGCAATTTTTTTTTTCTGTAGTCGGAGTGTTTTATTTTCCGGCTGTTGGCTGGAGGGTCGATACGGAGACGTTTTCCGCGACTGTGCTACAGTTTCACAGGCCATGCTGGCAGGCTGTCCCTGACCCTATTGACATCGCAGTGCCCTGTCAGGACTAACGCTGCCTCTCCAAATACTGGCACCACACACTGACATGGTGAGTCACAGAACTGCCCAGGACGTTGTCTCCTACCAAGCTGACGTTAGTATGTACAGTAGAATGGTTTCACATACCAGGGCATATTTTTAGTATGATCTCTTGCATTGAAAGATTTATTTGACATTGAGGTTTCTAAATGTTAAAGCCAAACCTAGGAATGTTTGGCTGCCGGTGATCATTCATTCCAACTCTTGACTAGACAGCCTGCACCAGATTCTGTGTGTAGACATGGGAAAAAAGCTGCTATGCTGGAGGAAATCTAACCCCACTTCTTTTGATTCTGTTCTCGGTAATTCTGACAAAAATTCAATTCCAATTTATCAAACGTTTTATCTCGCACACCAGCCTTTTCAGCTCATTTTGCTCTCGGCCTGTTCCCTGGCTCCGTCGCTGCTGCCCTCTCTCCTTGACCTGCTGTTACCTGTGAGATGTTAGATGTCGGGGCCTCCAGCATAAGGCCGGCGCTGCGTGCGGAGCTGCATGGGGGTCAGTGCTGCACAGACAGATGGTGTCCTGGGGGCTCTCGTTAACAGAAACTGCACTCGGGCAGCTCTCGTTTTCTTTCGCCCCCCACCCCCCCAAGGCCAAGATTGTGGAAAAATGACAGAAATTCATTCTGTTTCCTCGCTTAACATGTACTTCAGACTGTATATCATGTCATCCCCGCCATACTCTCACCTTCTCTCTGATTAGGTGTGATAACTTCTTTGCACGTGGCGTAAATCAAAGTGAAAAGCTATCCCATCGGGAGGCAGTCGGAGGCTCCTGAGAGTTTGTTCTAGAGGCGGGCGATCTGGAATCGGAGACTGTGCGTCCGGCGCCTCCGTGCTGCTGCCGTACCGGTAAACCAGGCCCCCCTCTCTTGCAGGAGTGCGGCCGGCCCCCCGAGGAGGATGGTGCTCTTCCTCGCCCTTCCCCAGGCTGCTTTGCTCCCGGTTCTCCTGCTTCTCGCCACACAAGACGGGGCAGCGGCCAAGAACATCAACTTCTACAACCTGGGGCCGCCTGCAGACCGTGAGCCTCTCCGCCGGCGTGACTCCCGCCAAGTCCTGCTGGGCTTCCAAGGACAGGCCGGATAAACGCGCAGAAAATAATTATGATTGTTACGTGTTTTGTAGGAGTAATAGTCATTGCGTGTTTTGTAACAGCACTTGGGAATCCAGTTGATAATAACGGGGAAGTTGGCGGGGGCACTGGGCGTCCCAGAAACGTCTGTCCCTGTTTGTTTTGCAGCCACCCCTTTTCCCAGCAGCTTCAAGTGCTTCACCTGCGACCGCGCTGCGGACAATTATGACTGCAACAGATGGGCTGAAGACAAGTGGTGCCCCCAGCGTGAGTGTCCAGCCGCCGAGCGCACAGTCGTCGGACACTGACCGCTAGACTGTGGAGAGAGTTCCCACTGCAGCAGGAAGGGCCCGGTCATGGTCCAGCTCTCCATCCCCACTAAACCTCGAGACTCCCTGACAAGTAGTTGAGGGCCAGGAACACGCTTCAGATCAGCGTCTGTTGGCATGTGGGGTGGCGCGGGCCCGGTTTTGACCGCTCTTGCTGTCTTCTGGCTCGGATCCACAGATACGCAGTACTGCCTGACGGTGCACCACTTCGGCAGCCGGGGCAGGAGCCGGTGGGTGACGAAGAAGTGCGCGGCGAGGGAGGAGTGCCAGGCCGTGGGCTGCCGCCACCACACGTCCACAGGGCACACGGTGAGTCCTGCTGGGCTGCCAGGGAGCTGCCCGCCTCAGCGAGCCCCTATGGGCCCGGCCGATGAACTGCGGCGGTGCTGAAGGCGGAACAGTTAATGCAACAGTTACAGTGCTAATGGACATTTAGAGACACGACAGGAAACATTGCTGTGAGACGGGCTCACTGTCTGCTCCTCCAACACGGCCAGAGCTGCTGCTTGTCCTAACCCCCAGTCCCAGTAGGCTTGGGAATTTGTTACTTAAGGGAAGAATGTCTAATCGTGGGGTAGTTCTTGCAGTGCAGTGTCTCTGCTGCTCCTTGCTGGCTGTGGCAGTATAGTCAGCCTGTCCTGCCTGGACAGCTAGGTCCGAAATTGTCCAGTTTCTATGGCCAGGCAGTGGTCACTGAGCCTGCCCTGCCTGGATAGCCAGGTCTGTGTCCAGTTTCTATGGCCACTGAACACCATCTCCTTTGCATTGTCTCCCCCAGATGGTCAGTCTCTGTTTGTTTTTTACGGGGGAAGGGGAGGCTTTAAAAATGTGCCAGGGGACAGTGAAGGGTGAAAAATGTCAGAGTTAAGTCATAAGAGTTATACGTTTGTGGACTGAAAGGAAGGCATTTTGTTTTAACCAGAAATTACACCTTTATCATGTTAGATGGGTACTTCTGAGCAATGATCTCTTCATAAGAACTTCATCAAGGAGTTCAAGAGTTTGGGAATTGGATGATTGTAAACAATGTGGCTGAGTGCAGCTCATTAGAGTTTAACAGCATGATGCTGGTACACAGCCAGGCACACTACTGGCAGACTAACCTGTGTGAATTGTGCTTGGGGGCTGTCCTCTCTGTGATTCCAGGAATGCGTGTCTTGTTGTGAGGGAATGGCCTGTAACGTGGAGGTCCCGACAAACCGCACCAACGCCGTGTTTGCGATGATGAAGTCTCGCGGTTCGTCAGCTCCCAGCGTCCGGACTTGGAGCTCCGCCTCCTTACCCCTCGCGCTTTTCACAGCACTGCTGCTGTCGTGACGGCGAGGGGTGTCGTCAGTCCAGAGTGTCTGAAGGGTCACCGTGACCAGCAGGAGTGAACTTCCGGCAGGACGAGTTCCTCGCCAACCTGTGTTGGTCGCGCGACGGCGTGCCAGCCTGCGCTGACACACCACACTAAACCTCCGCCTAGAAAACTGAAAAGAGAAGATGGGCTTTGGTGCACAAAATGGAATTTAATTTTGGCTGCAACGTATTTATATGATAGATTGACAACAGCAACTTCCGCTGCGCATGCCTCTCCAGAGACCTTCGTCAGCTGCTTGATTGTCTCCCATGCTCTTTCGTTAAGTACTAGGTGGTCAAAGAAGCAAACATGAGCATCTGAAGGAAAGTTTTGAAGATGCTTTGGACCCTATGAAGAAAGGGATAAACTACGACAGAATTGCATTTCTTCATGGGGGACTTGTCCTTTTTGTGTTGCAACTCAGTTGCAAAGTTATTTTTTTTCTCACCCCAGTGAGAGTGTTGTTGGTTGGGGCTGTGAATGTTGGTTTCAGCAGAAGCTTGCTGTGGAGTGATGTGGAAACTTGGAAGCTATCGGCTCCTACACTGGGCAGGATCTCGCGGTGGTCCAGCCCGTTACAGGTGTCTGCAGAGCAGGAGAGGGAAGACTTCCAGCACTTTCTTTATTTCAGAGGAAATTCAAATTGTTCGTGCAGTGGTACTGTACTGTATTTTAAAATGAGAACTGAATGTAACTGTGGCACTAATCGTTAAAAAAAAATAATAATGCAATTTATTCTTTGAGAACATCATAAAGTAGCACCACATGCGTTATTAACTGGGCTCTTTAAAATATATGCCATCTATAACTGGAGATATAAGGGATAGTTCTCCTTTTGTATTTAAACCAAAAGAATATAATCCCTCTCGATAAAGCAATTATTTTGGTGGTGGGATACATAATGCTTTATTGAAAACTGATCATATAGGTCAATATTTGTATTTTTTAAAATATGTAACCTTTAGTCTGTTATTTCAAGGTCTGGTTTAGCTGACAGCTGTATGATTTGCTGTCACGGTGTGAAAGTGGCTTCCCCCGGGCAGGAGTGTAATAATTTAATAACATCTGGGTGATGTTATATTTTAAAAGTGGATAAGACCCATCCACCTCACCTCTCACCCTGATGTTGACCTCCAGCAAGCTTGTAAAAGACTGGTAAATCACAAGATGAAGGCCATACCTAGCCTTTGACATGGGACTGCAGCCTGCACCATTTCTAAATGACGAAGTGTGTTAGTGAACGGATTTTCTCCGTGCTCTCTGGCTCGATATTACCAACTGGCTGCAGATCTGAAATAGAGCAACATTGGAAATGTTGTGCAAATTAATGCACAATGTTTCCAGGTAACAACCAGAAATTTTAGACCCTGTGTCAAGATTCACTAGAGCTTATTGGAGAGCTCATTGATGGTTCTTGCTTGGGAAACATTGTGCTTGATTGTAAAGATGCATTGAGACAGGCATGTTGTCCTGTGCCAAGCACACATGTATGACTGTAGTGACCAGTGTGTTGTATGGTCAGTCTGGTGTGACAGTGACTGCTTTTGTTTGGGAGACTTGTGATAATGGAGCTCTTCTGTAATTGCTCTCGCGTGTCAGGTGTTAAAAGGTGCTACTGAAGATACGTTGTGTGATTTACTGTCCCGTAATCACAGGAGTAAATACCTAATTTAACTTAATTCTGGCACCAGCTCCCACTCTGTTGCCAGCCTGACTGTATTAAAACCATACCAAGCCCTCACTGAATTCTTTAAAACGATTAAAGACGCATTTGGATAAACATTAAAGTGCAATTGATTCTTCCGTGCGGCGTGTTGAAAGAGAAGCTTTGAGCAAGAACAATCATCTGCAGTTCTGGAACGCTTCTTAGGAAGCCAGTCTGATTCAGCTGTGTGTGTTGTTGAAGCGCCAGTCACACTGCGCGCAGTCGGCAGGACTGGAAACCGCTGGCGAGCTTGCGGTGCTCGTTCCCATTCCTTTGGCTGGCCCGCGGTGCACGGGGACTGCGCTTGGTTTACGTAAACTGTATGTCAATGCGGTAAGCCGTTTATTAGCATTTTTCAGTTAAATCCCGAAGGGTTGAAATGGTGGTGGGGAAAAAACCCGGATTCTTCTGGACCGAAAGAAAGGTTGCAATGGTGAGGACGCCGTTTGGCCCATCTAGTCTGTTTGTGCCGAGGGTAAGATAAGATCACTTTATTGGCCATATACAATTTCTTGTATTAGGAATTTCTTTTCACATACCCCAGCTTGCTCTCCATGAGACACACAGGCAGGGAGAGAAGCTGGGGGTCAGAGCGCAGGGCCATTTACTGTATGTGGCGCCCCTGGAGCAGCTGGGGTTAAGGGCCTTGCTCAGGGGCCCACCGGAGTAGGATTCCTCTGTCGGCTGCAAGACTTGAACCGGCAACCTTCCAGCCACAGGCGCAGATCCTGAGCCACAGAGCCACCACTCCGCCTTTGCATGACTTAGCCAGGGTGTCGGCTTCAAGAGACCGGCCTCTCGCCGTGCGAGCTGCACCACGAAGCAGATTTCTGTCTCCCAAGGTGAGGAATCGAAACCTACATTCCAAAGCACTTATTGGTGAAAATGAAATTCCACAAACACGGAAATCACAAGTAAGCCACTGGTAGCGTCAATTAAGCAGACTGCTAGGGATGGGATGCTATTTAAATTGTGCTCGAAGCAAGAACAGTCGGAGCAGTGAACTTGTCAGTCAGCATGACTTCTTTTTTTCCACGATTTGCCTTTTTTTTTTCCAGCACGAAGTGATCAACTGCAGTCGGGTTTAATGGGGACTGCTGCATACACACAATTCAATTTCAATTCAAGGTGCTTTATTAGCATGACCGATTGGTACAATCGGTATTGCCAAAGCAAATAAAACTAATAAAATTAACATGAAACAAAAAAATAAATAAAATAAGATCTACAGACGTATTACAGACATTTACAACAAAGATGTATCATGAAATATTTACATATACTGTGAACATATGGGGCATTACTGGGAGACAGACTCACTGTTCCTCAGGAGATCACATACTGAGTTCCCTCCTCCCTCTCCCAGTAGGATCGGGACCCGTTGTGATTCTGGCAGGTGTGGGAATTTGGGACTAGATTTCTGAATTTAGGGAAGAATGTTTCTCTAATCCCAGAATATCTGTCACAGTGCAGTAGGAAGTGCACCCCCGTCTCTATTTCTCCCTGCTGGCACACAGCAGTGTGAGGGGATTAGGGAGCTGCTGGTGCTTTTATAAGACTGATGAGCCTCTCCCAGTTCGTCTGCGAGCAATATTCTGAGGATGGGAAATAACCGGTTGTCTGTTTAGCCACTTGAACGTATGAGCTTATAAATGAGAAGAGGCTGTCTGGCCCATCTAGTTCAATGGGTTTCTTGTTCCTGCATATTCCGAGCATCGCTTCCAGCGGTTTCTCAGTCTTCTGAGGATCTAATCCATTTTTTTGAAAGAAGCAATAATGTTGAACGCTATGGATCTGATTGAGATGAATTACTTTTAATTTAATTTATTTACATTTCTGAAAATATTTCTTAGGAAATTTCTTCATTTTGCTATGCTTGCTCATTAAGTGGAGTTGCCTGTAAAGTACAGCAATAAATTCACTTTGCCTTTTGGTCTTAAGGGTGTGCTGCAAGCACTGAATGTCGTCTTGAGCTATCAAATGTCTCATTAAACTGTTGACTTTGATTGCACAGCACCTCTGGGTGTAACGTTATGGCGTGCTGGGCTGCCCCTGACAGCCCCAACCTTTCATTCGCACTCCAGAGATATTTAGACTCCTCACAAATATGAAACTAGGAAAACAAACAGCGTTTTGAAGTAATTAAAAGACGTGTCATGTTTGCTTCAGAAGTCTCATTCTGGGCCCATCTTTAAGAGGTGTGGCTGAACGGCCTTGCGTGACAGATCAGCACTGCTGACAGTGATGAATGCTCCCTCTGCAGTAATGAATATACAGCTCTGTTAAACTGAAGAACTGCATTGCGACATCTAGCTGAATCTTCTCACGTTTAAGGACTTTAGACAGGATGTTGCCGAGATCTCTGCTCGCTACCAATTGTCCTGTCATTTCATATTTGTACGTTTTTCAAAAAGGGTAATTCGGCTTTTATGAGCTGCGACTTTCTTTTCCAGTGTGAGTTACCAGTGTTTTAAACTCTGACCACTAGCTGTAAAAACAAGTGAGCATCACTTGCTATGCCTGTGTTTCCATGTCTGTGGAGCTGTTGGCTTTGTTTTTAATGTTTCAGAAATGTCAAAAGCTCTCCAGCTCCAACGCTGCTTTGCTTTTGAAGAAGATGGCTTTAAGGGGAACTGTAGCTCTGTTATTACATGCCGGGCTTGTAAAGAACTGGCATTGATGAGTGCATTTCAAACCACAATAAATGTACAAATCACACTGTAATGTGTACAAACTCCACTTTACATCGCAACATAGGCAATATTTCCAGGTATGTGTCGTACCATTTTGCTGCCGTCGGTGATTCTGAACAAGGCAAGAAAACATCTGGTGAGGTGAAGCGGCCTACTTACATTATAAACAAGCGGGATTGGGAATACATCTCTTTTACTCCAATAGAAATCTTACTCACACCTGAAGAAGGCTTCACAGCTGAAACGTTGTTTTCCTCTCTTCTCTTTTCAGCAGGAATAAACCGATTACTTGTTGCTTTGCAGACTGCACATGCTGACGCAGCTAGCACCTGAAATATTGCTAGTGCTCCTAAAACCACTTGATGCACATCTTTACTTAGATGTTAAACATTATTATGATAAAAAGGATCACTTAAATGGTGAAGGCAGTTTTTTCTATTCTTTTCTTAAGCACTGATATCACCCTCTCACTTCATTCTCTCTTCGTCTGTTGCTCTTTATGGGCAAACATGGTAGGCACCTGGTTTGAGCACATGTTTTGGTTCAGTGAAATTAAAATTTATTTCATGTTACACACTTTCAGGCTTCATAATCCTGTAAACTCCAAAGTAGAGCAGATTTCAATACATAACCTGTATATTGCTTATTCAAATGTTATTTGGGAAATCAACTTTGCTTACAGGTAATAGTGAGCAGGAAGGGCCATTTGTTTTTGGTACCATCAGAAACTGCATTGATGGGGAGGATTATTTTTTTCAGGAAGTCTGAGAACAATACCTTTGGACACGCTAGAGGAAAGCATCTCTGAACCAGCCATTTATTGACTGAAGTGTTGTCTACAAGTCGTTCAGACAATGGCACTTCTTTGTTCAGAATTGATTGGGGAGCACTGTCTTGGGCACATGACCCAAGATGAATTGACTCATTTAGACTGTGGTGTTGTGCTGAAGTGACAGTGATTCTGTGTGTTATCTTTATGGATCGCTTGCCTGTCATGTACTGTAGGCTCCTGTGTACATATCACCCCCCGTATCCCATCCTTCACATCCAAAGGGTTGGAATTTTGTGTGATGTCACAACAAACGCCAAACAGAACAATATTTCAGAATCTCCCGTGCCTCTCTAGCTCAGTAAATGTCACACAGCAGTGTTGTAATTGCAGTCTGTCTGAAGGACCGAACTGGAGTTGTTTTGGGGCCTGGGGAAAGAATCTGTGTGTTTTTCTGTTTGTCTTCCTTTTCATTGCAGTGGCAGAAAATGACAACAGATCCTCTTTTATCTTCTCACCTGGCGTTGTTCCCCTGACTGTATGGTTCATAGCCAGTACTTGTTGTAGTAGGTGTATCCAATCAAGCCTAACCTGCGTGGGAGGAAACTGGGGCTGCCAGTGAAAACCCATGTGAACACATGGAGAATATGCAGCAGGGGTCCCGAGTTGGAATAAAAAACTAGACCCCAGCAGCCGCTAGGTGCTGCCTCCATACTGCCTTGGGTGAACATAAACACATGCATGACTAGGGTTTGCAAATACCATCTAAATCAAGCAGACATGCCTGGAGCAACACACCCCTCTTCGTTCGAGAGATTCAGAATTGTTTAAAGGTGAAAGCTGAGTTGAATTTAGGGCTTAAAAGAAGAAAGGAGAGACAAGAAGAAGTACTTGACATTATTGCGCTTCATTCTGCAGTTTGACTAATCCTTTCTAGATTCATTACATTTGGTAATGGAAAATTAAAAACAAAATAGAAACAAAAAATACTAATTGAAAAATTTAATAAAATAAGTGTAAGTGATGAAACATCTTCCTGATATTCTGGGCTAGTGTTCAGTGTTCGTGATGCAAAATATTCCCTTTTGAAAAGGGAGCTCATCCCTGCTGCCAGTGAGTATCAGTTACAGTCTTTGTTTAGAAAATGGCTTACCGTTTTCTTGTGAGGAAGATGGACATCTCTTGACGGAATTTTGTTTGCTTATCTCATTTCTGAAATCTGCTCATTCAGCTGATCACTTGGAAACGTATCGGTACCACGCTTTTTGAAGGTGCTAAATCTCTGATGTCATTAGGATTAACATTCCTTCTTGGGGCTAAGAGTTCACTGGACTAATTGCTGTCAATGCTATATAGTAATTCCAGCAGTTACTTCTGGTATAAGGACATTAGGTCTAATAAAGTGTGAATTGTAGCCTCACAGGTGGAATTAACCTCCTCACCCCAGTCGTGAGCCAAGATATTTTCCAAAGGTGGATGAGACCCTGTGAGCACCGATGTTTTAGACTTTTTAAAGTAGAGAGAAATTGGAAGTGATTTTTGTGTTGGAATGCTGAAGTAGCCCCAACTTGGGAAGCTAATGATATCCAGATTTGGATCTTTTGTAGTTAAAAAT